CATGAAGTTTTTAAAAAAAACAGTTAAAAGGATATTTTGATTTTTAAATATCAAGAACCATACATCAAATTAATGTCACGTTGATTAAAGTTTACTTGATTCATATTAAAAAACTTCAATGAGAAAGTTCTAGCAGTAATAATTTCAATTTTGCTGCAAAAAATCAAACTAAGTTTTATTTTTTAGTACTGCTAGCATTCGCCTACAACCCTCGTATATCTACAAAGTTTGATCGTGAATAAAATTGACTTAGTTGTAGATAAACACGTTGTAACATCATTACACAATGCATAACGAACCAACAGCAGTTAGAACATGGATATTTGGACATATATTTTTATATCCTAAAGATGTATTGGAAAACAGCAATAAAGCTCACGCATAACACTTGTACTAGTTTCAAAATTTACACTTATTGCAAGCTAATGTAGTGGATTAGACTTATACATCCTATTGTCAACTATTCTTGATGATCTAATTAATTGCCAACTAATAGGATTCATATTTAAGTTTGTTAGCTCCTTAACACTAGTACCTAGGCATAACCTGAAATCTGGAATGAGAGACAATATTAAACGCTAAACATCATAGACTATCATGAAGGATTTGCACTATTGAATACCATCTCTTGTATTATAGAAAGAGAGACATATAAAAATAATTATACTCGATCAAAATATTGGAGAAGGTGATTCAAATGCGTGATCAACACTTGTTTCTGAATAAAAATTCCAACAAAAAGTAACGGTGTCAGCATAGGCGTCGCGCGGCTTATCAAATATCAAAGAATTATTTATTTATTATATGTTACCAAAATTTATTAAATTACTTGGTTAAAATCTTTATTTAAATATACATAGCCTAATAATATTAATAGGATTATTTATTTTGGCAATTGTCTCTAATATGCAAAAAAAAAAACTTTTTTTTATTTTTAATTAAAGAAAAAATATGGACATGCAGGTAAAAGTTAAATCTGTATTTCAGGTCACTTTTCGAATATTTGAAATTCATTAAAAAAAAAATTGCGAATTAATATTAAATAAAATTTTGGAAAACTGGCTCCATAGGAACACATATTTAATCATTACCTAGACGTATATATTTTTTATTTTATTAAAAATAAACTTTAAAAATGGGGAACTGCCAAAAGTTTGAATGGCTATATTTCAAATAAACTACCTTTAAATAAAACATTAAAACTGCTGTTATATTAGAAAGAGTGTATTAAATAATAGTTAAAAAACAGTGATAAAAAAATAAAAAAGGCAATAGGCTGACGCTGCTGTTTTCGAGCCATTATTATGAGAAATTATTATTTTTTATGACTTTTAATGGAGTTAATAAAGACGACTCCAGAATCAATGGATTAAGATACTTTATAAATTCAGAAGTCATGTAAGTGACGGCTTAATTTACAGATTTTCAGAATAAACAAAATAAAATTATAAACCGAGGATTATTACAACAAAAATAGATAACCTGTTTTTATCTAATATTTACTAATACTCCATATAGTAATTCAATTTGCCAACATGTTTCTAAGAATAGAATTTGGCAATGAACATGGATCGATGATTACACCTTTTCCAATTGTAGTCCATAATGTGCCAATTGTATTTCAAAATAGTTATTTGAATTTCATAAAGCATCATTTGAATTTCATAGTGTATCATTTATATTTCAAAAGGTATCAGTTGTATTTTAAATTGCTTGTTTTAATTTCCAATTGTATCAATGTATTTCGAATTAATTAAATTAATTTCAAAAATAAACATTTCAATTTTCAAAATTGTAATTTGTATTTCAAAATATATCAAATGTATTTCAAAAAGCGTCATTTGAATTTCAAAACAATTATACACCAAGGTTTGTATTCAACTGTAATAAGTGATTAATGTTACTATTTTTTAACCACCCTGTTAGGACGCTTTTAACTCCTGTCAGTTTGAAATAAAATTAATACATCCATGTAATTTAAGCGTGAATTTGAGCCACAAAATGAATTTGAAAGACAATTGTGCTATATGCCGAGTTTCAATGTTGAGAGATAATGTGTTAAGAGTTCTTCCGTGCACTTTTTTCATGCAAGTTGCTCAGAAAGAATCATCAATACAGCAGATGCCTGTTGCCCCCTTTATGTAGAATCATTCTGGTGGAGAACGAACCTTGTGAAAAAAAAATCACAAGAAGCATTCAGATGCAAATAGGGAGAGAATTGTTACATGTGAAGATTGGGTTAAATTGGTGCCTACGTTAAATATAACGTTTCACACAGCCTACGAATGGACCAAATCAGGTCGTAGCCACATGCTAAAAAGAGGAGGTAAGAAACCACGAATTCTAACTGAACAGCAGGTAGATGTAATTATTGAATGGGTCGAAAAATATTGTTCGAAAAAATTAAAAAGACTGAAAGAAAAAGTGTTAGAAGAGTTCCATGTGACAATCTGCCTTTCCACTTTGGGTAACTACCTAGAAGGTAGTCTATTTACATTAAAACAAGTACATAAGCAGCCTGTAACAATGAACAGCAATGAGAATAAAATGTTGAGGGCGAATTATGTTCGTACTCTTAATAATTACATCCAACTGGGTAAACAAATAGTATGGATCGATGAGACAAACTTTAATCTATTTTGTCGTCGTTGGTAATAGAGCCGTACAATTGCTACCAACTGCTAAGTGGCCAAATGTTTAATTAAATTGAGGTATTTCAGCAGCAGGAGTTGTTGCAATGGATCGCCGTTGCGCCTCTTTAATGCAGATACTGCTAATGAATGGATTTTACAAATTTTGCAACAATGGGAAAATGTGGATTTGGTGATAGTGTACGATAATCCTCCATGTCATTCCAGATTAGAAACAGCAACTGGCACTGCAGTAACTCTTTTGAGATTAGCACCGTATTCTCCAATGTTAAACCCGATCGAGACCATTTGGTCTCGATCCATTCCAGATGTCGTTGCTTCTGGAGTTATTTATTTATTTTATTTATTTATTTATAATACAATACTCTACAGGTCATAAACCCAATTACAGAGCAGGAATTGACAGAATATAATTATTAATAGATCACATTTTTTATATGAATGTTAAGCACATAAAAAGAACTTGTATTTCGTAATAGGTAACAAATTAACTAAGATAAAAAGTGAGATTTTATATCTGACAAATTGCAACTAAATATATCAAGTTCATTGACAATAGAATTTGTTACTGTACACATGGTATGGAGCGGAGAATTTTCCAGAACATTTGTGCGAGATGTATTTATATAAAAAGTATTCGGGTGTCTGGAAGAAATTCTGGGAATACAAATATTAAACTTTTCTAATAAGGTTGGGCAGTCAATAATACTTTTAATAATTTTATAAGTTACTACTACACTATAATAATCACGCCTTCTATCGAGACTGAAAAAGTTATGCTTTTGTAGTAATTCAGAGTGAGGTGTACCTATTAGAGGATAAATGCCATCAGTTTTCAGGCTTAGCAGTTTTAAAAATCGTCTTTGAATTGCTTCTATTCGATCTATATGATACTGATAAAAGGGGCTCCACACAACTGAAGCATATTCTAACTTTGATCTTATAAAAGCATAAAATAGAGTTTTTAAGGTAGAGGTTTCTTTGAAATCACTACTGCTAGTTATAAAACAAAGGCTGGTTACTTGGAACATATTGTAGACGAAGGGAAAACACGATTTTAGGAGGTGATTGCGCTCTAGCGGTACAACACTCCTCGACTTTTCACGGACCAGCTTTAGCATTAGAAGATATGCCTATTAGAAAATAGCATTTCGTTTAAAATTGTTTGTTGTAAATTCATATAAAAAGTTATAATTATTATAAGTGCGGAGTGTTCAGGTATACTGTAGTATATTCTAATAGGATTATGTAGATTAATTTGGAAATAAAAATGATAAGTTTTGAAAATAAAATATTAAACTTTGATATTCAAATGGAATTTTTTGGAAAACATATGACAAATTTGAAATATATTTGACTTTTTGAAATTAAATTGATAACTTCAAAATACATTTGTTACTTTTTTTAAATAAATTGACTAATTTGAAATACAATTGATGCATTTTAAAATTGAATTGCTAATTTCGAAATACATTTGATACTTTCTTAAATTAAATTGACTAATTCGAAATGCAATTGATACTTTTCGAAATTAACTTGACGATTTTTGAACTACAATTGGAAACGGTGTAGTATGGCCCGTGATACCGATAACTTCTGCAGTCATATGGCGAGTGATAAGCATAATTCACCGGTATAGTACGATGATTGTATTTGAACAGGGATGAATCACCTTCTCCAATATTTTGACGGAGCGTAGGAATCTGTTTATTTTAACAATTCTAAATAAAGTAGAGTGATATAATCCAATATAATTACACTTTGCGGCATTACTTTTGTTGGCGAAAATAAGAAATATGTTTTAAACCAAATGAATTATTCTTTATTTATTACTAGTTATAGATAATATACAAAGTGGAAAGTTCAACCTAAACAAATTCGGTAACTTAATAAATAAAGGTTGGTCGCAAAATTCCTGAAATGTCAATTTTTATTTTCAATAGAGCATATTACAAAAAAAATATTTTTTTAATTATTTGGGAGGTTGCAACAACCCTAATCTTTTTCATTTTAAAGCTTTTTGAATTGTAAATACAATTAAGTATGTTTGTTTCTTTTTATAAGCAATGTATTTTTTAATGAGGCAAGTAACGCCGGAAGTGTTTTATTATCGATTAGGATATTGTCAGCAACAAGGTGGAACACATTGAACATTTTTTGCAATAAGGTTGTTTCAGTAAACATTTCCTTATTTTATTTTTTCCGACAAATTATAAAAAGTAACAAAAAAATATGTAATTGAATTAACAATTCAGAAGGCATTAAAATAAAAAAAATATTCAACCTACTGTCCTTGAAACCCCCAGATAATTAAAAAAATTACCAAACCTTTTGTAATATGTCCCCATCAAAAGTAAAAATTGACATATTTCAGGAATTTTGCGACAAACCCTTATTTATTAGTTACAGAATTCGTTCCAGTTAGATTTTTCACTCTGTATATTTTAAGTTTCAAATGGTGGTTATGATGTAGCGGTTTTCTTCTTATTATAATGGGATTCTAACAAAAAAAGAGTCGATTAAAATTTACTGATATTATTATTATAGTTTTGTAGTTATCGATCGATATGAACTTTAAATAATTAGCTACCTATAAGAAAAATTCCAAATCTATAATTTTTTTACCTTGGAGTTGTTTAGTTTTTATACATTAAAATGCTAAATCAAAATACGAGGGTATACCTACAACAAAAAATTAATATTAAATAGGATTAATATGTTTATTAGCAGTAAAATAATTGTTTATTACTTATACATTGTTTATTACTCCTCTTAATTACGTTTAGGCGATATCCCGTTCATATAAAATATTTGGAGCATCATTAAGTTCTCCAAGATACTTCTTATGGGTCAGTTTGAAGCGTCCTCAAAAGTCGGATATAAATAAAAGACAATTAGAACAAAAATAAATACAATAACTAACCACCGAAACTATCTACGATTTACGAGAAGAAAACAAGTGTTTTAAAAATATTCGCCTTTCAGGTAAAATACTTAGTAACGTTGTAACCGTTTGTAATTATTCTATTAGCTGCTTATGGGGGCGATAATAAACAATAAGTTTTTTAATATCAATTTGCTTCTAAATTACCAATTAAATGGGTAAATGAAGATTATCGCAGAAAATTAAAAAAATATTTTATTTTTTGTAAATATGATTAAAAATTCCGATGCTACTCGTAGTTGTAATCAACAAAAAGAAGTTTGAATTCCTACAAATAAAAATCAGTCACAAAAGCGTTACAACTCGTAGTTTATCGGATACCACAATAAAACAGTGTTAAATCAAGGGATGCGCACAAAATTGGTCCAAACAATACATGTGATCGTTTCGTTAAGAACACACTATACACTAGAACTCTTCGGTCAAATACAACCCCCAGAGATTGATTGTATGTCCGATTTAACCTAAATTACCTTAATCCGAAAATGCTTCATAAGGAAGCTAGAGCTTCTCGAAGATGGCGTTTCTAAGTCAATTTTTTTCAATATACTTCAAAAATTTAAACTTTGCGCATTGACTAAACTTCTAATGACTAAACGGCCTCTGTAAATTTAATTTTTCTATTGTTATCACAAGGGATTGAAATGGGAAGTTAACAGACATTTTTGCGTTTCTTGCAATTTAGAGATTAATTACAATACCAAATTGGCTTTGGCAAAAGAACAAAATTTAAAATAATGTAAACTGGAAATAGTTTTAAAGGCAAACAGTATTATTAGTTGTTGAAAAACTCGACTTGAAGGCGCCAACTTCAAAGAGTTCTACTTTCCTTATTTTGTGTGACAATGAAATTTCCGTTGTGCGTCATCAATGATGAAAATCGTTTATGAAAGTGAACCACATACTTTGATTTTCTTTTACTATACGGAGAATGGTCGCACTGCGCAGCTTTCTGAGTGCCTTTTAAAAGGAGATAGAAAACTCCGCCATTTTGAACCCTTATTACGTGTTGCCTACATCTTGGCGCAATATTTTTAATAGGTGCGTTTTAATCATCCACTTCTGCTTCGGAATTGTCGGTTTTCTTGTTTTAATCTGACAGGTTAGAACGACTGAACCGACAATTCCGGAAGCAGAAGCGGATGATTAAAACGCACCTGATATTTTGCTTGCTGCTGTCAGTGTCAGTGAATATTATTTTTGGAGTCACAGTTTATTGCTAAAGAATCAGGTAGCTCACTCGGACCAGTTGAAAGTTCCAAAATAACATCCACTCCAGGAATACAAATTCAGGATACGCAGAAGACTGCTGTTTTATTATAGGCGGTTGTCATATATTGTATTATCTGAGTTGCGCAGTGTATAAACTGGAACATTGGGATAAAAAGTGCCGACGCAGAGTAAGCGATCTGATTCTTTAGCTATAAACTGTGTCATAGGGTTCAAATTGAAGTGGGCAATTATTGGTTTTTATACCATGGGCAATTGGTATACGTAATGGACAGTTGCCAAATCAATATGTCTTTTTATGACATGTATAATTGAACTGTCAAACTGACAACAGTATTATTTTTGTGTTAAACAAATTTATTTTTTGATTTTTAAAATGCATAAGCATTTAAATAGCCGTGCGAAAGAATCAGTAAGGTCTCTAATAAGATATGTTGAAGAAGAACGACATATTACCAATAAATGCAGTCAGAGAGCCTGTAGCAGCGGTATTGAATTTGAATATTTTGACGGTAAGCTCAATTTCCCATGCATTAAAGAATAACCATATTTTAAATTCTCCTCAAAAAAGGCGACCGCATCCCACACCTGTAACCGAAATTTTCAATTCTGACTACGTTCTTATTTACGATATGTATAAGAAGAAACAAGTAACTCTTGCGAAATTACATGAAACTAACGCAAAAAGAAATGTTTTCGGGCTGTAAAATATTGCACACAGTATTAACCAATATAGGATTTAAATGAAAGAAAGATGATCGCCGGCGGAGTCTTATGGAACTTCCTCATGCTGCCAGTAAACGATTTAATTTTTTAAAGTTATAAGTACAAAAAATCTGTCTCTATATAAATTTATTTATCGAGATGAAACAAGGATTTTTCAAAATGGCAGAGTAAACCTCTCTTGGCAAAACAACGATAAAAGGAGCGTAAAAAATACAAGAGTTGATGGAAACAGATTCAGTGTTTGTTTTTAATGCTAGTAACGAAAATGGTTTTATTGATGAGGCAAAACTAGTGTTTTTTATCAAATAGTAACAACCTCGACTATCATGGGGAAATGAATGAAGCAAATTTTTTTAAATGAGAATCAATTACTCATGAATTCAAGATTGTTATGAACAATGCTTCCAATCAAGTACGAAATTAAGGATTGGCTGACTACACACTACAAACAAGATTTATTGACACAGTTTTCAGAAATAAACCTCCAAAAATGTATATAGTAGATCAACTTACAGAACAATATAGCCACACAGTTATCATTGTACATTTAACCCAATTGAAATGATATGGGATATTGCCAAGAATTATTATAACCGGCATAATGGTAAGGATGGCAACTAAATTCAAAATTGTTTAAGTATGTGGAGGGAAGCACTACAGACTGTAACCTCCCAAATCTATTCTATCAGTCATACTGATAAAATTATTCAGAAATGTTGTGACCGTGAAGTTATATTTGAACGAAAGGATATTTTACCTGTAATTATTGATTTTAATTATATTTGCGAGAGTGATTCTTATTCTGAATAAAGCTCTACTTGTTGTTTATTTTTATTCTATTTATTTATATTGGAAGAACTACTTCCGAAAGCTTTTAAAATTTTATATATAGGTTTAATGAATTAATTATTTAAAGTTCAAAAAGATGGAGTTCAAATTAAACATTAGTTTTTTATAAAATGTTTCTTGAGATCTTCGAAATTTGTAGCAATGTGAAAACGTCTACTTTCACAAGTTAATGACGTGCATTGGGAATTTCATTACATTTACTATGATGTGTGTGTTTATTTAACTTTATGTCCTGGTCACATTTGAGTTGGAATTATTTTTCCTTTTTTTTTCCTTATAAAGTATTTTTGGAACAATGTAATTTAAGTAAAATTTACATAAAATCAAGTCAAATATATGGGGTTTCCTTTTTCCAGGCCAGATTACCTACGAGTATCCTTTTGATCAAAATATCTTTCTCGAAAAATCGTGGTCAGGTCAATCCCACAGGAGCAAACTTTGTAGATGTATTTAAGGTAGGAGTTACGGTCGAGTTAAAATAATAGTATCAGCGCCAAACTTATCTATTCTTACCATTTTCAAACCAAATTTGTGGTGATTTAACCAATATAAAAGTTTAAAAAACAATTTAAATAAAATTATTGTCAAATCGATGCTTAATAACCACTGTCAGTTGTGTCAGTTGATATAGCGTATACAGTGTTTTAAATGTTTTACACTAGATGTGAAATTGATTTGTTTAGTATATTGAAAAAAATGTTTTATTTTTTCAAGATAAAAAAATATTGAACTGAATATTTAAAGGTACACTCTTATTTAGTTATAATTTATTTTTTTATGTTTAGAAAAAAAGTAAGTATACAATCTTGCAGGCTATATCACTAAATACTATGAGTATCGTTTTCTTTGAAACTAGGTAATTTTACAGACTATTCAATATCCAAAAAGTTTGAAATGGAGGCAATCACACTGGATATTGAAATATTAAAAATAAAATAAAATTACGAAGGTGGTCCAAATAAAGGAAATATCGTTTAAAATGGCAAAAATTGTATAAAATGAGCGTTAGAAAATATTACGATAAACCTAAAACATTTATATAATTTTTGCCCTGATTTTACCTTAAAAATATATCCAGAATTTGGATAAAAAAGTCTGTAAAAAAGAACAATAATTAAATAAAAATTAATACAATAATTAACCCAACATTTCTGTACAAATTTTATAATAAATTTTTATATTATATTCTATATACACAAATCATCTGTAAATTTCTAACTTACATATATAAAAAAATCTTAAAAAAAAAAGATCCGGCCACTAAAACAAAATCACAAAACTGAATTGATTCTGAAGAAGAAGCAGGAACTGAATTGGAAGCATCATTATTTAAAACAAAAACTAATAGTTTTTTTTGAGCGTCTAACAATAGTTAACACCTATTAAAATTATCATATAAATACAATAATTACACAAAATTGGCTCATGGAGAGTCTCTTTTTTATTAATATTATTTTTCAGTCAAGCGGCGCACAGTACCACCGTTCATAACGAACCCTCGAAAGCAGCCATTAAATCACTTTGCATATTCATATCTATCTTATTTGCCATCTGAAATAAAAAAAATCGTATTATGTTTTATGAATTAAATTGCTAATTCATTTGACCAAACACGGATTATCAAGCTTTGTAACAAAAAAAAAATTCAGAACAATGTTTATATGAAATTTTAAATATATGACATTTAAGACTATACCCTATGTATTAGATGGTCTATAGATATTGTCGTGCAAGCCATTTTCGACCATTTCTGTCCTGCTCGAATCCCTTAAAACCCTTCCTTTGAGCCTCTTACGGCGTCCACTTTTCCCATTACCAAGAATGTTCGATAGAATAGTCAACCTTCGAAACCCCCATACAGGGTATTTATTGAATGCGTGCCGATACTTAAGGGTGTGAATCCTTGGGTGATTTTAAGAAGAAAAGTTAAAATCAACATGTCGTAAACCTCTTAATTTTTGAGCTATAGGGTGTTACAGTTTCAAGAAAAAAATAATTTTTTTATCATAATTTTCTTATCACTCCAGATATTTTTATAAAATTTTGTTCACACCTTTTAGTCATTAAGGAGGATTTTTTGACGTAAAATATTTTTTAAATATTTGTCAGTGACTTTCGTAAGGGGTTTAAGTGAATATTTTTGAAGAAAAAATACTCATTTGGAGCAAATTTGATCCATAGACTTACTTTCGTAAGATGCACCGTTTTGACACGGTTTTTGTGGATGGTGAAATTTTTTCCTTAAATTCATTGAGACTGCTTTTGATATTTTGTTGAAATTTGGTAGGCACCCACTCACCATGCGTGGAAAGATTTTTTTTTATATAAAAATTAATGTTATACTTTCACAAAAAAGACGTTCACGGAGGCATGATATTGAATATTTGAATAGAAAAAACGGTAAGCACACTAAATGCCTCTTAAAGCAAATTAAATAAAAATTAGTATGCTGGGTAAAACGCCATAATTTTTGACGTTTCTTTTCACAAAGGCAATAAAGTTGACAGTGATTTTACATTATTAAATAATTATTATTAGAGTAAGAGGTAAGATCTGATAAAAAAATGGAAAATTTTACGAAAAGTGAATTAGCTGTCATGCGTTTTAATTATGGGCTAGCAGACGGAAGTGCATACGAAGCCAGGCGGATATACTAAAAGCGGTATCCAAATCGCGTACTACCCGATTCGAGAACATTTTCTAAGATTCGTATACGTCTTCACGAGACCGCAACTTTAAAAGTACACCACGGGGCTAAATGAGTCCATCAAACAATAAGAACACCGGACCTTTAAGAAGGAATTTTAGATGAAATTGATGAGAACCCCGAAACTAACTCGAGGAAAATCGCGGCAAAATTTAATGTTTCACATGTACCTACTTGTTTGGAAAATTCTCACCGAAAATTTGTTAGACCCGTATCACATTCAAAGAGTTCAGGTATTACTCCCTAGAGATTTCCTGTTGCGCATTAATTTCGGTGCTGCTGGAAAATCCCTGATTTGACAGGCACATTATTTTCACCGATTAAGCTAATTTTTCTCAAAACTTAATAAATTTCCATAATAACTATTTATGGGCGGATGAAAACCCTAATACAATTGTTGAATCAAATCATCAAGGTCCATTTTTTTACCCAAGAAGACTTGATGGACAAAATCATATTTACACTTTCTTGTAGATCTGCCGCCAATGCTTGAATACCTTCCTCTTTTATTAAGAAACTAGATGTCGCTGATGCACGATGGTGACATTTTAGCTTACAAATGCGTGAATTTTTAAATCACACCTATCGCAATCGGTGGATAGGTCGCGGAGGAACGCATTCATGGCCGCCTAGATCTCTCGACCTTAATAGTTTAGACTATTTTTTCTGGAGGCATCTGAAAAGCTTAGTGTACACGGTGCTGATTCAAACCGAAGAAGTTATGAAATCGTATAATAGTATGCTGCCAAACCATAAAAAGCACCCCAAGAATCTTTGAAAATGTGCGTCAGTCTATGCGAAGATGAGTAATTTGCTTCAATATAAATGAGTATTTCAAAAATAATTTTGGTTTTTAGAAAAAGCAGTGGCGTAACATTTTTTTCTTCAAACATATTCAGTTCAAACCCCTTACGGACGTCACTGGTAAAAATTAAAAAAAATATATTTTACGTCAAAAAATGCACCTTAATGATTAAAAGGTGTGTACACAATTTCATAAAAATATCTGGAGTGATAAGAAAATTAGAATTTTTTTCTTAAAATCTTAAAAATTAAGAGGTTAGCCACATATGTTGATATTAACTTTTCTTCTTTAAATCACCCAATGATTCACATTCTTAAGTATCGGCACTCAATAAACACCATGTAAATACGCCTATGGCAGTCAGTCACCGTCAATCGTCGATTGACTTCTAAAATTTGGTGGATACAACAATCTAGAATATACTAGAATAATGATCAAGCATCCTATTTTTTTTTTGTCTTTTAATAGTTGTGAACAGTCCAACCGTATAAAAAGATAATCAAGTTACTGCTGCATAAGAAAATATAATTATCAGAAATAAGTTATAACCTATATGACCTATTTGATTAGTAATAAAATTAATATGGTATTTATTTTGTTTGCTTACCACTTCTCTTCTTCTTCGTTCTTGTTCCTGCAATCTCTGCCTCTCTCTTTCCGATATCCTTTCCGAACCCGAACTTAAAGAACCCGGCGAAGTACTACCTTCTCCAGGAGACGAACGCAATTCTTCCACCCTCTGATTTGATACTGGCTGTTGCTGCTCCGCTACAGCTTTCCTAAAAAAATATTAAGGTCTATTAAAAAATGTTATATATAATTAATCTCTATTAACCAAAAAAATATCGAAAATTCAGTTTTAATTATTTTTAGATATTTTCATTACTTTTCAACAAGTAAATCACCTGTTTAGTGTTACTTTTTAAGGTAGTTAACTCGCGACAGTTGTACATAAAAATATCGCGTAATGGTGAATACCAAAAGTTCGAGATTTTAAAGCTAAACAATTTTATTTTTATAAGAGACTGTACAAAACACATGTAAGCTTATATATGGATATATGTGTTATAATTTTAAATAAAATGCATCCGGCAAAGTCGCAAATACATGAATAGTGTGCTATAGAAGAAATTTGTGACTTCCTCATACGAATTTTAAAGGTTTGTTTTGGTTCAAACAGAACCGCTGATACCAATTCTCAAATACAGTGGACGAATTAATTTTTCAAGAACACGTCGCGAAGTTATAACAACCTCTTAGCTGATCGAGTGTTATTTTTTTATCAGGCGTTAAGTGTAGCGATTACAATGTTGCCAAGTTGTTATCATTTTACGCAAATACGCATCGACTGCTTTAAAAATAAATTTATTTTAAAAATCTATATCTTTTTACTAAGACAGTCAAAAACTTCAGCGTTTTTTTTTTACAAAATTTTATAACTTCTTGATTTACATTACATTAGTTTTTAAAAAATATGGTAAGAACCGTTTTCGAGATATCCTGAAATAAATGCATTGCAGGCTTCAAGAGTGTTAATTATGCACATTTTAATTAATAATTCTCGTTTCACAGACGGTCAATTTTTTTTAATTACATAAAAGACACTTTCATTAACCTTATATTTAAAATTTTATTGAATTCTTAAGAAAAGCCGTTTTACGAGTGAACTTTAAGAGCAATTTTACCATCTTAAGTCACGAACTGAGAAAATATATTGCTACTTCCCTACATAATTATATTATAAATTTGTAATTGATATTATTTAAGGTTATATTACCCTACAAAAGTTACGATGGAGTTACGATAATCCAGATTATGGTCTAAAACCAGCGATAATCAATATAGTTTTCTGTAACTACAAATATTGCTATTGGAGTTGATGCGTGAAACAAAAGAGGGCAACACTTTATGTAGATATTACAGAGGCAGAACAATATAAGTTGTTGCCAAATATACAGGTACTGTTCCAGTTTATCATCGCTTAGTTTAGATTTTCGTTGGCATTTTATAGATGAAATTGTTTGAGTAGTGGAAAAGGTAGTTTTTTGATTTGAAGATTTAAATGGCATTAGTTGTCCAAAAATCGTCCTGTGGATAAGCAAGATATTCTCAAAAAGAAAGTTTAATATGTTTCAAAAGTAAATATCCTTAAAATAATATTAAAAAATCCAAGTTTTTCTCTGTACACTGTTAGGAACAGTACATTTTTGAAATTTCAAAGTTACATGGTCTTAAATGGCACACAATTATATAAATATTTATTTATATCTGTTTAATACGTCCAAAAAAATTGTCTGTTTCACCGATTTTTTAACTATATACGCCGATATTATAAAAACAGTTCAAAAAGTCGTAAAAATGTATTCTTGAATATCACTGGTTAAAAACTTAATGATTCTAACGGATGTCAAATCATAATTTTATCTTAAATAATAAGAAAGATAATTAAAAAAAACTAGGGCCATGCCATCATATTGTCGGGCGTAACGTAGAGTAGACTCCTCGCATTGAAACCATTTCGATGCTTGCTCGACCAAATCAATTTTGTAAACATATACATCGGCCAAGGAGGTCAACTATTCAGCTTTGTTACTGTTTAAATTTATATGAATTTTTAATAAAAATTATGTACACAATCTACAGTGGGTTTCACATAACGTCTATCTCCGTTCGACAGACTGCGATTCTTAAGTACTGCCTCTCTTTATTCGTTACGTATCGTGAAAGAATCCCTGTACAGGTTGGGCAAAATACAGGATACAAGGAGAATTTTCACTTTTTAAACATGTTAATACATAGGGCCGTGATCGTAAGTATTCTATTTTATTAAATAACATCTAGATCTGGTGAATAGCCTATTTGTTCTGTTCCATATGGATATTCCCAGTTGTTTAGGTGTTAACCGTGGAAACCCGATCTAATATTTTATTCATTAATAAATTTTCGTTTGGAATCTCAAGAGCCGTGATCGCAAGAATTCTATTTTATTAAAAAACACCTAGATCTGGTGAATAGCCTATATGTGCTGTTCCATAAGTATATTCCCAGTTGTTTAGGTGTTAACCTTGGAAACCTATCTAATATATTTTTTTTTATTAATAAATTTTATTTTGGAATCTCAAGAGCCGTAATCGCAAGTATTCTATTTTATTAAATAACATCTAGATCTGGTGAATAGCCTATATGTGCTGTTCCACAAGGATATTCCCAGTTGTTTAGGTTTTAACCGGGGAAACCCGATCTAATATTTTTTTTATAAATTTTCTTTTGGAATCTCAAGAGCCGTGATTGCAAGTATTCTATTTTATTAAATAACATCTAGATCTAGTGAATAGCCTATATGTGCTGTTCCATAAGGATATTCACAGTTTTTTAGGTATTAACCGTGGAAACCCGATCTAATATTTTTTTTATTAATTTTCTTTTGGAATCTCAAGAGCAGTGATTGCAAGTATTCTATTTTATTATATAACATCTAGATCTAGTGAATAGCCTATATGTGCTGTTCCATAAGGATATTCACAGTTTTTTTAGGTATCAACCGTGGAAACCCGATCTAATATTTTTTTAATACATTTTTTTTTTTGGAATCTCAAGGGCAGTGATCGCAAATATTCTATTTTATTAAATAACATCTAAATCTGGTGAATAGCCTATATGTGCTGTTCCATAAGGATATTACCCGTTTTTAGGTGTTACCTACTTGCTCCAGTATTACTTAAAGTGTGGGATAAATTAAAACTAGATAGCTGGTATCTGGTACCGATTAATTTTGTTTTGTAGTATTTAGTCGTAAATTCATTCTTTTCCCCCCTCATTCAATTTACTATCACCAAGAAAACTCTACCGCCGTCCAAACTAGCAAGGAATTCCATTTTATTTTACTTTCGAAATATAATAACTTCTGATGAGCACCGTCCTATCAAAACTACCGTCCGAAACCGTTTTATTTTTGTTCAGGGTTATTAGGACCAATAAAGGGGGCTTTAAAATAGTAAAATGCTTATAATTGTGTGTCGACCTTTCCCTTTTTCTCTTTCAGCTTTCGACAATTCTTTAACTTAACAATAATGATTAAAGACCGCTATTGTTATCTTTTACTGTGCATAGTCTGATATCAACGAGACCCCCGGAGTTTTTCCGTCATCTTCACTAGAAGCTGCCTGAGTTGTGGGGCAAAACAGATTAATAAAACTGGCACCCGAGTGCTTCCCAGCCCTAGGGTGTCACTTGTAAGAATTAAATCGTCTTACACAATTAATATAAATAATCAGTGTTTTAAAACTTTTGGACATTTATTTTATAGTTCAGTTGTCAGAAGTTAATAAGAACGCAAATAACTTGCCACGATTATTTCCCAAAAAATCATAAATAAATATTATTAAAAATCAACAAATCTAGAATTTTTTTAATATGCAATCAAACACGGTATGTGACAAGGTTCACATAATTTTGAATTATTACAAAATATCGGAACAAAATATTGTGAAACAAAATATGAGATAAACATCAAAGAACTTTAAATTTATTTTCATGCACCAGGCCATCCACCTGAATAGAGCTAATATTTTAAAATATATGGTTACAACCCATATACAGTATGATTCAAAAGAAAAAGAGATACACGAAAAAAAAAAACACTTTTCTTTCTCGACTTATATTTTAAAATTTCGTTGGTTACATTGCATATTTTTTTAAAACAGCTTTACTTTGAATTGACTAATAAAGTGTAAGAGTTATGTGAGCTTGCTATAATCAATTTATGAAACATAAGTCATAAAACTTGGTAATAATGAATATGAAAAATGAAACTCGTTTTCCTATCATTCCAGAGGAAGTTTTTTCCTCGCATTGATTCTATGGTATTTTGATAAGCTAGACATTGAGAAAATATTGGGTATACATTTAAAATATATAAATTATACAAAGTGATTCATTAGTATAAAAAGTTCAATATCTCTAACACTATTAAAGATACAAGAAACATTTACAACAGGTAGGCAATATTAAACTGTACATTTTAAAATTAGTTTAGAATAACGTCAGTCTGGAACAAACTTGTTTTTAAATGGATCACCCTATATTTTATTTTATATTTGAATTATGTACACTTGTTTTCCCATTATAACAGTATCAAATAGTATGGAATTGTGTGTGTGTGAGAGGGGGAGTTGGCTTAGAATTAAATCTGTTAGCCACAGTCTTTTTAAAGAAAATGACTACCATAGTATGGAATTACACAAGGTATTTCACATGCTACAACCAGTTTTATATATATAAAAAAAAATTATATAAATAATCCCACAAATAATTTTTACGTTTGCCGTTTTATTAACCATTCTGTAATTTACTTTAGTCTCTGATTTATAATTCGATTTGGCAACATCGGAAAAATATCGACACTCAAGATACATCCAAGTGGGTAGTTCTATTCGTAGCAGCACTGACTGGACTAATGTATTAGGTACCAAATTTAAATATATTTAATTAAAACGTTATTATTGAATGTTTACAATTTTTCAGCGTTTAGAATAAATCTTAGGTTGTGTGTAAAGCAACAGTTATAATAACATGAAATACGCTAATTTTGTATGTGTTAGAGACAATTTATTGTGAAATGATAATTATTATTTATAAAAAAAACTATTGCAAATATTGCAAGCACAAGTTCGCGTAAACAACCTAGTGGACATAAAAGCATTCTCTTTAGAAGAAAAAATATCGTACTTAATGTATTTAATGATCTTCGAAAAGACTTTATTTCACTTTCTGTGGATATAATAGCCACTAAATGTGAGACCTATACTGGAGTATCTAAGCGGACAGTTTATAACATTATTAAAGAAGATACAGTTATTGGAGAAGTCTCACATCCGAAAAAGTCCTTTATTGAAACTTGGATAAAGAATGTAATAAGGCAAATGGTACATTTTTCTTTCGGACTGAAATTCCTACACTTAAAAAATTACACTCAGAAATAAAAAATAGCCCCACTCTTTCAAATGTCATATTTTCATCTGCAAAAAATATTACATGAATTAAATTTTCGTTACAAAAAACGTCACAGAAACGTGTTTTTAACAAAGAAAGACGAAATCATTGCGGTGACATGCTTATATAAGGAAAATAGCTGACGCAAGAAATCAACAAAAACAGGTATTTTATTTAGAAGAAACATGGGTTAATGATGAACATACAGTATCAAAAATTTGGCAAGATACCTCCAAAACTAAACAAGCCTTTATGGAAGGGGTCTCCTGTGGATTAAAAAATCCAACAAGAAAAAAAAAACTATTAATAACAACCAACACGGGAAGCACTTAAGCAAATTAAAACAAATTAAAAAAATATATTATAGACGAGATGGCTCGAAAAAAAGGAATTAAAATTCTCAGATTGCCTCCTTGCCAGGCAAAGTTAAATCATATTGAACTGATCTGGTCACAATTAAAAGGTTATGTTTCTCGAAATAATACAAAATTTAAATTATTTGATGTGCGAAATTTGTTTTAGAAGGCAGATTCAGATGTAAATGGAGAACATTGGAGAAAATGCATTGATCACCTTAAGAAAGTGGAAAATTCATTTTGGAAAGTAAATATAGCAAAGGAAAACTTAATAGACCCTATAATAATAAACTTCAGAAAAGACGATGATAATGATACAAGTAGTATAATTGACAGTGACTTTTAAAGATAGTTTTGAACTTTTTATTTTTTTAATCTTTGATTTCAGGTACTTAAGTGCTACTTTTAATGCCAAGAGATTAAAAAAAGTTTAAGCCCATTACAAACATATAATCCTCCTTGTTATGTATTGGCTAAATTTAATTTGTTCAATGTGAAAGTGCAAGAATTTTGTCAGAAGCATAAGGTTGATTTTTATTTATTTTTTTTTTAATAAAATAACTTACAGATGCTCCGACTATGCCCAAATTCTAATCAAATCATTAGAGGCTAGTTAAAGCTTAATTTTTGGTAAATCAACTTAGTTTTATTATAGGTAAGTTCTACAGTAGCAAAAATGATTGTTTTTAACTAATTATGTATTATTTTTTTAGGGTTTGAATGTGCCAGACAGACGGTGGTCAGTAAATTGTAACAACAGCCGTGTGAAAACAAAATTAGATAACCCAGATATAATTTATCATAATTTTCCATTGGGGAAAGATTTTGTTTCCCACGAAATTAAATAAGAGTGGATTCGGAGGTGCCGTAGAGCCGATAAATAGAATACCACAACAAATCAGATTTGAGATCTTCATAATGAATTATTGAGTAATTGGGTTTGCCAGTGAGGGGGGATTAAAGAAAACTGTAGTCCGTACTTTAATTCTTGGGAATAATAAAAGTGAAGATAAAACTTTAAAAAAGAAATAACGGAAAAGTCGAATCTTGAAAAGAATAAAAAAAATAGGATGGGTGATTTTTTAAAAGAATGTTATAAAAAAAGAAAAGACCAAAATGTTTGCATAAAACAATCAAATTTATTAATAATGAAAAAAAAAATTAAAGAAAAAGGAACCTGTTGACTGGACATTTGAAGAAGCTGCATCTGCTTTTACCTTGCGATATTACAGCAAAAAGGCATATCTGTATGTAAAACAGCAATTATATTTTCCACTTCCTGGTTTGTCATCTTTCAGACGATGGACTAGTAAATTAAATTTTACAAAAAATGGAATCTTAATCTATTAAAATTTATGCAGTTGGACGGAGAATCAATAATAGACAATCTGTATTATGTGTACTCTTTATGTACTATTTTGAACTAATTGTGTAGGATTGTCAACAATCCAGCAATGCCGACCCGGAGAAAAAAATATTTGTTGAGGAATACGCGTAAACGACGTTTTTTGCTTTTCGGTCATCAACCTAATTTTAATTTATTTACTTTTTATGTACTACGTGTACTATTTGGGGCACAATGTTCAGGTACTAGGGTACAACATTTTTCCAGTGTTTTACTAATACACTACACTAAAATAGTAATGTTTCAATGATCGGTACAGTAAAAATGGAGTAATTAATAACCTGATGATAGTATATATAAATTGTCAATTATGTAAGCCAGAGCAGTTTATAATCGTGTTCATTTTTAAATTCGCACATTCGATGGTCCAGCAACTAGGTAATTTTCCCGAATACTTCCGATGATACACGATGCATTTAACAATTCTATAGAGAGTCAAATATCCTTGGTACATAGTACCTTATTCTCGATAAAAACAGAAAAGCCTAAAATAGGATAAATTTACATTGATTGGATGTATACATTCAGTAAAAAAGAGTCTCACCAAATTTCAACATTGACCGAAAATGTATACAGGGTATACAGCGGCTCATATTGCGGATCAAAAATTATATATTTTTTTAAAAATCCCTACAACTAGTCAAATAGAAATTAAGAGCTGAAACTCAGCAGAAGTGTTCACCTTTTTTTATCAGTGAGGACTGGATGTATGGGTTTTGAAAACACTTTATTTTTAATACGGTTTTAAACGATTTGCTTATCTGTATGTTAATTATAGCAAAATAAGACCATGAAAATCGTATTACAAATAAAGTGTTTTCAAAAGCTACTTTAGGCCAAAAGTCACTTTAGGCCAATGTTGAAATTTGGTAAAACTCTTTTTGACTGAATGTAAACGCCCAATCACTGTAAATTTAAACTTTCAATTTATCATATTTTAAGCTTTTCTGGGTTTTTCGAGAATAAAGTCTATGTTTCTCTTAAGAAATGGGATACATTTCCTTATTTGATCATTCTAATAACACAAAGTAATCATTTCCGTATCAGATCCATCACAAAGCGGTCATTCCTTAATAATTTCAAATATTATCTAAGTAGTGTCCAACTCGCGAAGAACTCCTATGAAAAAATAATTTAATTTATACACCATCCTAACACCATGTCTTATACAGGGTGGGGAAATACACTTAAAAAAAATTAACAAAACTAGTATGTATATAGCGAAAACATAAAGATATTGTAATTTTGTATAGCCATTTAAAAAAAAAAAACTTTAGAATACAGTAAATATCAAATCGTAGGAAACGAGTATCTTTCCTTGCTCGTTATACAATATACTATTGTCTTAACCTACAAATATGAAATCGATATGCCACTAATTTATCAAATTTCAATATGACCCTAACTTTGACAACACATTCGCACCTGTGACCCAAATGTACTTTTCTCTAATGGAACGGGGTCTACCATTGTGTGTTATACCCAAATTAATTGATACTAATAATATTTTACTATTTAAGTATCAGCATCTAAAATTATTATACAAAATGAATTATATTGACTAAAATATAGATTCACTATTTATAACTAAAAATCCTTTTTAATGAATAGTTTGACATAAGGTTGTCAAAAATTAGCTTTTTGGAAAACGGTTCTATTAAGACATATTGTAATTTATAGAAACTGAACAACAAATGCAGCATTATATTACTTTTAAAAAGAGTAAATCGTTTAAAGGTTTTTGCATAAATACATTTGACACACAGCAATTATTTATGAGAAAGTATGATTAAAAAAAATTAATTATATTTACCTCGCTTTTTCTAAAGCATCTTCTTCTTCTCTTTCCCTCCTTCTTTCAGTTTCAACTCTCATTCTTTCCCTCTCGGCCTGTTCTCTTTGCTGTCTCTTCATTTTCAAGTTTTCTAACCTCTGCTTTTCCCTATCTGCCTTTTCTTTCGCCTTATTCTGGAACGCCTTAAAACTATCCATTACTTGCTGTTTACTACTGTCACCGGGTGTGTTATTTTGCGGACTCTTTCCTTTTGCTAGACTCGACCAAGAACTGGCATTTTTAACATTATGATCAGTTTTGTCAGTCTTAAATCCAAAGGTTTGGCTCATAGATTTGGAGGTTAGAGGTATATTCTTTTTATCATTAAGAAGACCGCCTAAACCATCTAGGCGATCTTGTGTTGGATCGTTTTTAATAAGTAGCTGATTACTTAAATGTTGAGGTAACGGATCAAACATTGAGGATATCGACATCTCCATTGGTAAACCCATCGAAGATATTCCATTATTATTCATGGACATGTCGAAATCATGTTTCATGCCAAAACCATTATTCTGCGCATGCAGCATACTAGCTTGAGGAGGTATTAAACTTGGAATATCACTATCCATTGGCATGCCCATACCATGATGTAACATATTTCCAGCCCCTAAACCACTCATGGTCACTGGAGTTTTCAAATCCATGCTGATAGAACTAGGCTGTAAAATAGGATGGGTGACATTAGGATTAAGGTTTAAGTGAGGATGGGATACAATAGGATTACTCAGAGTAGTTGTAGGTATTTGCACAGTAGATACAGCTATAGTTTCCATGGGATCATTCTGCTTAATATCATGCTCTAAACTTGCTAAACTTTGCTCTATAGGATCTGTGTAAGTACCAAGAGGTGATACAATTTTAGGTTTATCAGGTGAAGGAGTTGGTAAAGCCACCGATTTCGGAGGTTGCGGAACAGCTGTGGGTGTTATAGTAGGAGGTAAAGGATTAACTATGGTCAATTTTTCAACAGTATTGATTACGGTTGGTTTGATGCTGATAGGCGGCACTAGAGGCGGTGCGGAAGTAACATTAACAAGTTGTTGTTTAGCATTGGCATTAACTGTTGGCGGTACCGGTTGTGGTGCTGCTGGTGGAATCACGATTGGTGGAACAGTAGTACTACTGTTGTTTGTTGTAGTTGGTGGAGGTATCTTTGCCTTAGGCGTAATATTAACGTTAGCATTAGCCGTAACAGTAACATTAGCATTAACCGTTGGGATGGCAGGTGCTTGTGTCGTTGCTGGTGCTGCTGTTGTTGATTGCGGTGGTTTCTGTATACTCTGCTAACATAAAAATAACTATGAGATCATGCAACAAGTAGGTTTAATGTTATTTACACATTAAATTATAATTTTGTAAAAATGCCCACTAAGAAATTGTTTGAATGTTTACCATTTTAATTTGTTTATTACGCTGTGTTATTTTAAAAACCTTTCACATTGAATATTTCAAAATTAAATATTATGCAAAATCGCATAGACAAAACGATTTTTGTTTCGAGAAAACATTTTTTTAAAGACCTTCCATGCGTTAATCTTATTTGTTAAATGCGTGTTTTCATATGACACATTGCTGATCTAGAGTAATTAAGGAGTAAATAAAACAAAATTAAATATTTATTCAAAAAAATGTGGAGAAATAATCCGAAAACACTGTCAAAAATTATAATTAGTTAACATGTTCAACTCCTGTATAATCTATTTTCGAAGTACTTCTCTACTTTTTGAAACTACTGCTTTCTTGAATAATTCCGTTTATTAAATCTTGTTTGTGTTTTATACATCAGACTTCAAGTAACTTCACAGGAAGAAAGTCATCTGAGTTAACATTGGAGATCGAGCTGGCCTCTATATTGTACCTCTTCGTCCAATCCACTGGCCTGATCATCTTCGGTTTAGCCTAGCGGAACAGCATCCTGTTGACAATATAAATTATTGTTGATCCAATGAATGTTCTAGGTAGTCGGCAATTAATGGTTCAATATTATTTTGTAAAAGATCATTCTTCATTGAAATAAATTACGAGATACTTTGTTTGAATTGAAGTTATTAGTTATTTCCCAAAATTCAATTATCCTGTCGTCTTCACAAAGTTTTCAGATTGTTTGGATTTTATATGGATGAAATTGGTGTAAGTAGAAGTGTTTTGTGTGAGTACTGTAGAGTACTGCTAGAAATATTTACCAATGCTGCAATTTTTCAAGTGGGATCCATAGCAAAATTTTCAAACTCTTCTATTTGGGTATTTTCAATTACTTTTTCCCTAACGCTTTTTATTCATGACCAAGTCTGTTTCCAATAAATTGTATACTAATTATAACACGTATTAATGATATTACAGATCAAACAAGATGCAGCCGAATAGTACCACTTTTAAACTTTTAAAAAATATTTTTTTTTACGTTTAAAGTTTAGGAACACTTCATTCACGGCCAGTTCAAATGGATACGTGAATAATGTATTCCATTATTTGCTTAAAATTACATGTAAAATATATTATTTTACTTATTTTTAACGCCGCGTTGGGCCTAATTTAAACACACTTTTAGGTATATGTTATATTACATCGTTGCCATGTCTATTTTACCGGAGCTGGTTATAAAATAACTAATAACAAAAAGTTAAACTGTTGGAATTCCGAATAAGGATTGGGGTTTAAATTTAAATGGCATATTTATAAATAACCTTTTAACCTGGCTGTTGAAATTAACTGAAACGCTACAGAATAGACCTCAATAACAATTAATATTAGGATTTTTTTCCTATTAAAAAATAAGTTATTATTATGGAGTATAGAGGTAATGAGAACTATCATCTGTTTACAAAAAGTGTCCCCAATGTCGATAATTCAGATCACACAATCACGGCAATAATGTCTATAGTTATATAGATTGCTTACCCATATTTAAATAAGATGGTATACATGCTAGCAGGGTATAGCCTAAAAACTACATTGTGAACATTTTGATAATAGACAATAGTCAAATTTTATTGTAATAATACAAACATTATAGTAAAATGGGAAAAACGTGTGCAATCAAAAGCTTTTCAAGTGGTCGCAAAAGTTTAAAAAATAAAAAAGAGATGCCCAGTCGTTATCGTTTTTCCAAGCCACGGTATGTATAAAATAATTTCTATTATTTGTAATTTATCCAAAAAATTGTAAAAATTTATAATTTTACAATTAATTATTTATACATTTTTAATTAATTATTTGTAAATGTTTTCAATCCTTTAATAATTAATAAACATGCTTTTCGTCATCTGATTTACATAACTGTCAATTTTCACGTATACGTTCATACTATCACTCCAACTCTTTTTTTACTTCCCTCGATAAAAGGGAAGTATTGTAATCGTGAAAAGTCACCTTGCGAGATTATTTCAGATTTTCACGTTTCAGGGACCCTAGATTACGAAAAACATGTTTCCTAATTCGGTCTGTCTGTCTGTTGGCGCAATAGCTCAAAAATGGCTTTATTCGCTCAGTGCGAAGTCATGGTAGGGGAAGCCAAAGCGATATCAGCGCTAGCTGCGGATAAATCGTGCATTTTAGGGCGATATTTTGTAATTTTGGCATATCAAATACACGTATACATTTTACTTTTTTTTTTTCAAAAAATTAGGTAAAAACAATACAATAAGCAACCGGAGTTGCTGTGTTGAAAATTGTAAAAATACTAGCAAAAAAAAACAGTGAAAATTATAAAAATTTTCAATAGCAAAGTGGAAATTGAATCAAAGAAATAAATGGATAGGTGCACAATAAGAATAAAAATTACCTTTATTTTTGTAATAATAACAGTAATATTGGAAATAGTAGACATCAGAAGCTTGAAAGGTTTTAAATATACAATAAATTATCATTTTACGATGTTCTTCAACATCCCTTTATTCTTAAATGTTCATTCAGCAAGGACTAGAATTCAAGATTTCTACCTTTAATTACTGTATGTGGCTGGAATGCAATTTTGTGACTTACTGATAGAAAACCAGTTTTAATCATTCATTCTACGTTTTCTTTCGAACAAAAATGAAAATATAAATAACAATCCTTCTGTTTATACTTTAACTTCACGCTATTATTTAATGGTATTTTTTTTATTTCGACAGAATAGATTAATTCTTCAAAGACAACTAGATTTAGGCAACTTATCATACATTTTCCCGTAAATACTGTTGCCTGCCTATATTTTATTACTGATTTTTATTGATACTTATTTTTTTTTTAATTTAAGCGATAAAAATATACAGAGTGGCCCAAAAGTCTGGAAACGGCCAATTATCTCGTAAATTGCTAGTTCTAATTGTACAAAATTTGGGGTACACCTATAATGTTGTCAGATTTGCCGTTTCTCTTATATTATTAGTCACTTTGGTTTTTCAAATTGATCACCCTGTATATTAAGTCATTATTGTAATCTCCTATTCAATACGAGTTCAACCATATGTAAAACTTATGATTTTATGTAGTCTAGAAGATCTTAAATTAATCTGTCTCTTTAATTGCATCATAGCATACACATGTAAATGATCCTTTATAAAATGGGGTATCACAAAATTTTGATCACTCATTCCAATCATTTCTGGATTTCTGTCCTTAACACTCCAATATAGCTCGTTTGCAGAAAGTTCTTGAAGGGAAGATGTTTTATATATAATTTTTAATTCATTCTCTGTCTTTTGAATCACCATTTCTGGAGTGACGCACCGATTAGCTCATATTGCCTACTATTGCTACTTCAGCTTTATGATGTTTCACTTGGATAAACCTAAGCACCGTTTATACTGTTTATATATAGTTGCCCCCACTTGTCTAGACTTGTCCAGACCGGGTGCAGGTGTTCGCGTGAGAACCGGATGTCTTTATCTTTCCCATCAAATTACAACATGTGTTCGACAGTTGGCCGCCATGTGTTCACCAGATGGCCGGATGCAGGTGGCCGGAAACAGGTTTCCGCCAGATGTGCCGTCACCGACCGCCATCTTTGCACATTTGCACCGCAGAGCCTACTAGAATATACTACTGAGCATATTTATTTTAACCCAATGCTGGACGTTGAACACGAATACAATATTGATGAATTTTGGAGGGATGAAGAGTCTTTTTTTTGTAGTTACCCAAAGATAAAAATATAAAAACAGAGAAGTCATGTAGAGGACCACCTTTTTTTTTAGCTCCCCAAAGGTAAATACAACAACAGATAAGTCGTGTATTACGTTTTGTCTTATTTATTACGTTTCAGTAAATAATCATATATTATTACATTGCTGGACAATAATGGCGTTTTGTTGGACAAATACAATTGCTGTACAAGATTAAATATTGGACAGACGTTGAAAATGTACAATACAGCGAAAGGCTGTACATAGGCCAGCCTAGTGTATATAAGACAGAAAATTAAAAAGTTGATACTTAACGCAATTTAATGTGAAAAATACCTAACCTAACAAGAAAAAATTGCAAGAAACTTGCTAGGATTGCGGGTTTTTTTCAAAATACAAGTACTTAAACAAACATAAACAAAAAATACAATATTAGAAATAAAAACTAATAAAAAACCATTGGCAAAACTTATTTTTTTCTTTGTGCTGGAAAGTAATATTACTTCATTTTTCTATTTGAGTTCGACGACTTGTTTTGCCAACTTTTGCGCATCCCTTGACAAGGTCATTCGCAAAACTGCTTTACTGGTTGCCTGCGTGCAATAATGCCTTTTAGTAGTGCCTCGCTTTTCGTTGTCTGATTTACATATGGATGAGCAATCTATGACTATATATTATTGGATATTTACCTTCTAGTACACGAGCGCCATCTTAATTTTATACATTTTGGTGGACACTTTTTGGTATAAACAACCTCCTTTCCTCTACACTCCATAGTTTTTGAGTTTAATAGTAATGGTAGAGGAGCCAGTGATACTTTTAGGTATGTTATTTGTGAAAGTAAAATTTTATTACAAATATATCGTTCATTCTTACCTTGAAAAACAAGAAAATAGTTTGCTACGCTGCAATGGAGCCCTCGACAATGACGTTTTAAAAAGCCTGTGTAGAAAATGTTGTCATAGAAGTGCAAACTTAAAACTTTCAGATACTGTTCATATCAAAAGTTAGTAGAAAAAAGTTTCTTGAAATTCGGCTCACAGTAGGTACCTTATTGCTTACTGAAAGGGCATTTCACAGCTAGATCGATTGCAACAAAGTATTTTCATCTTCTAAAGAGCAATTATTAACGATACATTTATAATTTAGCCTTTTGCAAATGTGTACAAAGAAAG